GCAAAAAGCATGGACTATAGCCCATGGTTTTGATGGATTATGGGCCATTTTCACACCTTTTGAAAAAATATGCATAATTTATAAGGAACTCAAAACAGGTCATTTTTGGCCATTTTCAGGCAAAAAGCATGGACTATAGCCCGTGGTTTTGATCGATTTTGGGCCATTTTCACACCTTTTGAAAAAATATGCATAATTTTTTATGGATGCAAAATAGGTCATTTTTGGCCATTTTCAGGCAAAAAGCATGGACTATAGCCAATGGTTTTGATGGATTTTGGGCCATTTTCACACCTTTTGAGAAAATGCAAATACTAAATGGTGGGTGCAAATAGGCCATTTTTTTGCCATTTTCAGGCAAAAAGCATGGACTATAGCCTAAGACTAAAGCAAGGGATATGGACTATAGTTTTATATATCAGCAACGTTGCGTGCAACAAATTGCATCATGAGTCTGTAGCTTTATTTTATCATGTATTTTAGAGCATCATCCAAGAGATGGAGTCACAAGAGGAGCGCCTACACGTTTTCCAAGAATCTGGAGAAATTTTGATCGCTAATGCGCAGTACCACAACCAGATGGCCAAACCGATACGAGATGAGATAAATGACTTTGAAGAGTGTTGGAAAGCAACATTGAACAGAGCGCAACATCGTCGATCAGAGGTAAGACGATGAGGATAATATCAGATACCTATTTCTTGTACAATATACATGGGATAAGGAGGGTATTTAGAATACAGAGGGTGGGGGATAACGACTTTCCCCAATGATACCATGGCAATAAATATGATAAATCTGACTAGCCATTAATTATTGAACGAGTTTTTAATACATTCTTTTACCTTCAGTTGAAAGATTCAAGAGAGAAGTTTTTGGAAATGGCCGAGTTGAAGAAAGAGATCAAAGAATGGCTGAATGAAGCTGAGAAGTTGTTGTCTAGAGCCAATGATGAGAGAGACGAAACAGAAGAAGAAAACTACTTGGACAAAATACGGGTAAGTGACTGTTTTCTATGGTTTTCTAGGAATTAGGACACATCTGCGCTAATGCGCTGTGAAAAACATTGTTTACYGTGTCACCAAAAACACATCAAGAGCTTCATCTTCACACTAGCTTTTTCATAGTGCTTGTCCAAACTAAACTCTATAAACACAGATACCATCAGGAATCTCCACTAGCTACCCTGAGGTAGCTATTTTTTTCTACAAGAGGAATCAGTGATTGTCCACCATTGATTTAAGGAATGGTCATTATTATTGGTGCCCATCTTATTGGGCTATTCCATCTTATTGGGCTATTCATCATCTTATTGGGCTATTCATCATCTTATTGGGCTATTCATCATCTTATTGGGCTATTCATCATCTTATTGGGCTAT